AAAGGTTGAGCTGGATCATATATTTCCTTATCCATTGCACTCGGTCATCGATGCAGCCAGCTGTCTAGCGAGGAGACATTGCGGGTTGCGTGTGTGTGTGTGTGCATTTGTGTGTGTGTGTGTTTGTGTGTGTGTGTGTTTGTGTGTGTGTGTGTGTGTGTCTGTGTGTGTGTGTGTGTGTGTGTGTGTGTGTGTGTGTGTGTGTGTGCGTGTGTGTGTGTGTGTGTGTGTGTGTTTTCCCTCTTCGATTAATTTCTTAAATTTGTATGTAGAGTATTGAACGAACTTAACTGATGACGGCTAGGTATTATCTGATGGAAAGATCGACGTTATTCATTTTTTCGTCCTTTCATTTATTCTTTTATTTGTCCATTTCTTCTCCATTTCTTTATCCGTTTCCTTATCCATTTCTTTCTCGTGTCGTTTTCTAAACATTATCCGCTTCGTCAACATTATTTGTGGAATACCTTGAGCTGGCCAGTCATCTAACCACTCCCCTCTCCCCTCTCCCCTCTCCCCTCTCCCTCCTGTCCGTTCCTGCGTCGGCTCTTTTTTTTTTTTTTTTTTCTGCTTATTTTTAATCAAATAAGTTTATTAAAATTGTTATATTTCCATTGGAATGTTTTGTCTATCCCTATGTTTGTTGTCCTACCGTAACCTCCTCCCCCTCCTCCTCCCCCTCCTCCCCCTCCTCTTCCTCCTCCTCCTCCCGCTCCTCCCTCCTCCCGCTCCTTCTTCTTTGTCCTTCACTTGGTCGGTGCTTGCTTTTCGAAATCTTAACAGCGGTCGTGATTTGAGGGAAGCAGGAGAAAGAGAAGAAAGGAAAAAAGCTAAGGCCATAGCCGGCACACACTTGCTCTTGAGCACGATGTCTAGTAATCGAAAACTTTATCTAATCCTCTTGTTCCACGAGTTCATTTCTCTTTTTAGGGGTGGTTCTTTCTCTCGAAGCGAATGTTTTTTTTTTTTTTTAGTTGTGTAATTCCTTTTGCCGAAACACCCCCAAATTCCATTCGTGTTAAGTAATTAGTATTTACCTTTTTTCTGTTTTGAATTGAAGGGCGACAGCCTTGAGATATCATCATCGAACTGACTGGCCCGACGTAGGTAATTCACAAAATTTCAAATTGTAGAATTTTTTTTTTTTAATTGGTTAACCCAAAATCCCCATCTATCCTGGGGGCCAACAGTCCCGTTGCTTTTCACCGCCAGACATCTGCATCTGGTCGAGTCTAAACTCTGGTCTGTATGTTGTGTGATAGTTGAGTCGTCCACCAACTGAGCTAGGCGAGGTGGTATTTACCTATTTTGTTAATTTTATGTTACGGAGGTTTTTATAAAACAGGGCATCAGTCCGCCTTTCGCCAAATGGGAGATAGAGAGAGAGACAGAAAAAAAAGGTAAAATGGCGAGTGTATCAGTCTACCTTTTGGCAGTTGAGTCGTGAGTCCGCCTTTTTTTTTTTTTTATCAGTCCGCCTTTCGCCAAATGGGAGATAGCGAGAGAGAGTAAGAAAGAAAAAAGTAAAATGGCGAGTGTATCTGTCTACCTTTTTGTTGAAGGTACACTCGCCATTTTGTCAAAGTGTGGTGACTACCACCTGAGAGAAACAACAAGGTAAAATGGCGAGTGTATCCTTCTACCTTTTGGCTGCAGGTGCACTCGCCATTTTGTCTGAATTTGGTGACTAGCGCCTGAGAAAAACAAAAAGGTAAAATGGCGAGTGTATCTGTCTACCTTTTGGCTGCAGGTACACTCGGCATTTTGTCTAAGTTTGGTGACTATCGCCTTCCTCCGAGCACAGCGATCCTTCGTCCAGAACGTATACAGGCTATCTTTCCGGTTCGATACAGGGTGCGTTGTGGTCGGGGGACGGCCGCCGTCTTCACTTCACCCGAATAGAAATCCCGATCGTTTTAGTTTGCATCTGGACTGAAAGTTGCCCGAAATACAGCTGTGATGACCGTGCGTTCTATTCGCGTGAAGACGGTAGACGGGGGATAAGAGGGCCATGGTTTTGCCATCTCTTGCGGTCATACTTTTACAGGGAGGGGCATTCTTCAAACTTCCAAATCCATGTGGATAAATTCGAAAATGGTTAAAAGTCAAAGCGGATATAGTCAACGTGGAAAAAGTCAAACTAGATAAAGTCAATGCGGATAACGTCAACGTGAATAAATTCGAAGTGGAAAATTACAGCAAATTCTCCCGCGTACAGTGCTTCCCCCGACTCAACGCACCCTGATAATGACCGTACACAACCTGTATTTCCGGTCAGGTTCAGCCAAACTGAGGGTGTGTTGTGTTCGGGGGAAGACGGTAGTTACCCCTTATCTTATATGTATTTATCGGAAAAATTTAGCGACGTCGATCTGGAGAAAATCAACGTTAATATCTGATCCGTGGTCCATTGGGGGCCACTACGATATTAAATTATTTTTTCTGGGCGACGGAGGGGTCATATGGGTAGGCTTGCCTGCTGGACCCCTCCAGCGTTGCCTCTGTATTGCACTGCAGCAGAGTGTGGCGCAGCCCTCAAAAAAAAAATTAAAAAAAAATCAACGTGGATAAAGTCCGCATCGAGTCGTATGGACAAAAGGGCTGAGCTCAGTTGGTAGACCACCGACCTTTTTTGGAAATAAAGACCTGCGTTCGAATTCAGATGGAACCAAATGAGCTGAGAATGTTGGGACTGGGACATGGGATTGTTCGGACTGGGACATGGGATAGTTGGGACTGGGACATGCGATTGCTGGGACTGGGACATGGGACTGTTGGGACTGGGACATGGGATGCTTGGGTCAGGTATCTGCTTGCCCGGTGTGCCTTGCTCATCCAGACGACGGCGGCAAATGATGGATGTAGAAAGGACGCTGGGCCCGGTTCACAGCATATTAGAATGTGACATTTTTTTAGGCGAAAAAAAAAGAAAAAGACGACGGGAATGAATTCATGCTGAATTACCTCGGGACGGTGAATTGAATGAGGGCGTACTCACACTGGCAGTATCTTAAATGAATCTGACCGCATTTGCGGCCCGACCTTTGTGCATCTGGCCGCAATTCCGTCCAGAAATAAGTACAAAAGTGCTAGTGTGCGTCTGCTCTGATAGTATCCGAAGGCCGTCGCCCTTTTTAAGAAACGAAAAAGAAAAAAAATCCAACGTGGAGAAAGTCAAAAGCAGAAAAATTTACGCGGATAAAGGCAATCTTTATGCGAACGAGGGTAGCTCAGTTGGTACACCCATGAAGGGTTGAAATAGAGGCCCAATATCCAAAAAAAAGAAAAAAGAAAAAGAAAAGAAAAAAAAGAAAAGAAATGCAGGCCAAAGTTTGACTCCGATGGAAAAAAGACGAATATTGTTTTTTAATGCGGTCGTAAATGCGGTCAGATACACTTTAGCAGCAATGCTAGCATAGAGCTAGTGCAAGCGGTGCGTTCAACAATGATATCTCAAAGCTGTCGCCCTGTTTCTTTTTTTTCTTTTTTTCTTTTTCCGCCCTGCTTCTTTTTGAATAACGGAGATGAGAATACCCTAGTGTGACGACTTATGAATTCACACTTGGACGCTTTCCCGCATGAACATGGACCTGATTGTGGCCAGATTAACTCGAAAGATTTCTGATTATTGCATGCCCAGATTTTATCCAACGTGCGCAAGTCCTATGTCTCAAAGAACTCCGGACTCCCGTTAGACTTTCGCTGTTTTTGAATACAGCCAGATTCAGGGCATACTCACACAACGACTTTTTCATCTGATTTGTGGACGTTATTCCGGTGAGATACATCCAGTACTTGCCATAAAGACGGTCACTCGTACGTCTACGGAAATCTTATTTCGAGTATGGCGTCACTCAAGGAAGTTTCTATGAAACTTATACGAAAGTACTGGGAATACATAAGTGCTTTCAACTGATGTCTGGTCCCAATGACGGTCAGGCCTTTCCACTACTTGCCATAAAGGCGGTCAGACACGTCCGGGAAAGTAGCGGATGTATATTTGTGCTTAAAGGCGGTCAGGTACGTCCGGGAAAGTAGTGGATAAAGGCGGTCAGATATGTCTTCCCACTACTTGCCATAAGGGCGGTCGGATACGTCCGGGAAAGTACTAGATAAAAGCGGTCAGATACGTCTTTCCACTACTTGCCACAAAGGCGGTTATAATCGTCCGGAAAAAGTAGCGGATAAAGCCGGTCAGATACGTCCGGGAATATATAACAGTTTGTCACAGCCCCTCGTTTGTTGTCCTCTTCTCTCTCTCTGCCTACGGTTCACCGGGCAGTTCTGTTTGTGACGATATATATATAAATATAGAAAACTGCTTTCAACTGATCTCTGGTCCCACTGACGGTCACGTCTTCCCACTACTTGCCATAAAGGCGGTCAGATACGTCCAGGTCAGTGCTTTCAGCTGATCTCTGGTCCCAATGAGTTGTTAAACTTTCCATGAAAGTTTGAGGAAAGTACCGGAGAAGTATGACCTGTAGTGTGATTCTTGGATGCGAAACTCCGACGAAACAGTATGTCACAGCCCCAATGAGTTGTTAAAGATTCCACTGCTCGTTTGTTGTCCTCTTCTCACTCGACTCCCGCCCTCTTTCTCTGCCTACGGTTTATTTTTTTTAAACTGCCGTCAGTTTTAAAACTGCAGGCAGCTCTGTTTGAAAGTTTATATATATACAGGGCAGGTCATCTGTTCAAGACGTTTTAATCACAAGCACAGATCTGTTAAAAAAAAAATAAAAAAAATTCGGACCTGGTATGAAGGTTCCACAAATGGTGGAAAAAACCAGCAAGGCCATCATCAAGGAAAACGTCGAGCCTAGGAATAGGCCCAAGCGTCCTATTTTGGATAATCAGCTGGAAACCAGGCGCAGCGTCCTCAGGGGAAGGTAAAAGATAGATTAACCACCAGGCCCATCGTCCTTTTCCAGAGAAAACAGTTCTGGATAACAACAGGGACCTGGGGAAGAACGAGGTAAGTAATCCAGAAAACGACCACAATAGAGTAGTGGCAGGATCCTGGGGGAGAACGAAGTCTTCCACCTCATCCCACAAGTGACGGGAAATTCCATGAAAGTCCGAAATTTTTTGTTTTGGGTTTATGAAAACTAAGATATATTCCTCTGTTTCGATTTTTGGAAAAAAAATAGAAAAGAAAAACTCTGTCAATTTCACCTTTCACAATCTACATACCACTACACCTAAGGCTATATATGTAGATTGTCAAATTTCATATGGCACCCCTGCAAGAATAGTTACATCAATGATGCATGCTGCCCCCCGCCCTAATCGGCGGTGGCCGCGTCCTATATCGCCTTTAGATCTCTGTCAGACTGTCACCGTTTTCCGGGTCGACGTGTTTTTTTTTTTTTTTTTTTTTTAATTGATTTAAAGAAGATACCAACGTGTAACTGACCGCTGATCTACCCTATGTAATTCCGGAATTTTGTTTATCTGTTTCCATCTGGATTCGAACGCGAAGTGTGCATTTCAACAGTTTATAAAATCGTTCATGGGAGCAGTACCAACTGAGCTACCGTTAGTCTCGTTGATACAGCTCGACGTTTTCCGTTAGCTCCGTTTCCGTTAGCTCCGTTTTCCGTTAGCTCCGTTTTCCCTCGATTAGAACTCGTTAAACTTTGAAGCGACATGAAAGCAGAAAGTTGCAATTGATCTGCATTTCTGCATCGGAGCGTAAAACACAGTCAGATTCAGGCGTCAAAAAAAATCCCCTTAGGTGGTGGGAGCACGCCCCGTTAAAATAAAATGAGTCGCGCGATAATGCTATTGATCTGAAATTCTGCATCTGAGCCTGAAACACAGTCAGATTCAGGCGTCCAATAAAATGCCGTTCGGTAGTCGGAGCTGGCCCCGTAAAAATGAATATCTATGCGCTCCTGAGTCTAGCCGGTTTCGGTTTTCTATGCCTTTTTGTTTCCACCGGTCCTTTCGTTTTTTTTTTCCTAATTACTTTTTTTTGCCGAGCGTTTTAAACTGACTATAGTCCTTTTTTTTTCAGTTTTTTTAACTGTTTGGGAATGGCAATAGTTCTTTTTCCCGCGAGGTAAGGTCGTTTCCATGCCCTCTATTTTTGGTGATGTCTATTGTGTATGAGCGTTCTTCGTGCTTATTTTTTTTCTAATTAAGGAAAAAATTGCGGTAGCGCACGGCATCCCGACTTCCGGTTCGGTCCTGTGCGGTTTCAGCCACCCATGCGTGGAAACGGATGGTTCGATCCAGATGCCGATCCGGATCCCGATCTCGAGCCTGCTATTAACGGCAAGTGTCCCGATAGTCCCTGGTTCGGTCGGTCCGACCCTTCTCTTCTAGCGGGGGCCCTGGTCCAGCGTTGAGTTTCCTGAACTGCACGTCTCCACAAAAACGTCCAGGCGTTGAGGTAGCTCAACGCTGCTAGTGGGACTTGGCCCTCGGAGTGGGTCCCACCAGCAGCGTTGTGTTTCCTCAAGGACCTGAACTGCAGATCTCCACAAACGCGTCTAGATTCGGGCGTTGAGGAACCCTCGTCAACTTCACATCTCCACAAACACGTCTAGATTCGGGCGTTGAGGAGGAAACTCAACGCCAGAATCTAGACGTGTTTGTGGAGATGCGCAGTAGAGGAAACCTCAAGACTGCTAGTGCTACCCGCGCCGGGGGCCAAGTCCCACTAGTCTCAACGCCTGAATCTGGACGTGTTTGTGGAGACGTGCAGTTCAGGAAACTCGACACCATTTCTGCACATCTCCCCAAAAGCGTCCAGATTCAGGCGTTGAGGTAGCTTAACGCTGCTAGTGGGACTTGGCGCCGGGAGAGGTTAGTTCGGCATTTCGTTTCCTGTTTCTTTTTTTGGGGCAGTATATATAACTAATTAATTCCAAGGACATCCCCACACCACTGTGGAAAAACGAAAAAGTTACAAGTGCATCTGCCCGCATAGAATGACAAGATGCATCCGTTACTGTAAATAGGAGCTGATGCACCTTACCAATATCTAGTAGATGCATTCCTTCTTTTTTCTTTTCTTTTTTTTTCCCCTAAAAGGAGAGACGCCGAATGACTCTAAGGGAAGCTGAGTAATGCTCTCTCAGGGCATACTCACTCACACTGGCACTTCACCAAATGCATCTGACTGAAATTACGACTGGTCCTGGATGAATCTGACTGCAATCGAGTCCAGAGCTTTCGTTCAAAAAAGCCCTAGGCCCTTAATGGCATTTTTTTGGGGGGAGGTCCCCAGCCTCGTTTCTTTGAAATGAAACGATGGATCCTTCTTTTTTATTTTTATTTTTACGTAAAGGGGAAACAACGCGGGAGTCACAAAAACGAGTTGGTCCTTCGGTACATCCGTTAAAATTGGAACGATACAGAAAAGATTAGCATGGCCCCTGCGCAAGGATGACACGCATAAATCGAGAAATGGTTTAAAAACGAGTTGTAATTGCACTATGGGCCAAGATTCAGTTTCGAATTGCAGTTCGGGCAATGTATACAACCCAGTTTTCTGGCCAGGTGTAGGGTGCCCGAAGTGCAATTGGAAACTGTGGGTCTCGCTCCGCTACATCGCTGCACTAACAATCCGATTTCTCCCTTTGAAAATGTTCGGATAGCTGTCAGATACCACCGTCGAGAAGAACTATCCGCGCGCGGATAGTTCCCAGCCTGCAAAGAAGGTTTTCCGGATGGACCTCGGCGGGCCTCTCCAAAATGCTCCGAATTCGGAGAGTGTGCCTGGAGTCGGGACCGACAAAATGCATATGACGCCAAGTAGTCCAGTGCTGTCGCCTCGTCTCCTAGTGTTCTCACGAATTGGAGTGTGGGACCACGGATAGTAAGTGCAGCGATGACCACCTATCCGCGAATTCGGAGAATTCGGCATGACCACCTATCCGCGAATTCGGAGAATTCGGCAATTATCCGGCCACTCTCCGAATTTCCGGAGAGTGGAGAGTAGTGCAGCGAAACCCTGTATCTTGACTCCCGCGTAGTTACCTTCCCGGCAAAAAAAACGAGTTAAAAAAAAAAAGAAGAAAAAGAAAGAGTTGAGGTCGGGGTCCTCAAAGTCTACCATTGTAAATGGCTGGTCATTAATAATGGCTGTATTTGGAGCAGCTATCAGTCCAGATGCAGCGATAATGACCGGACGTTCTATCTGCCGTGAACTGGTGCAACGTGAAGTCCAGATGCAGATTCATGTTTGTCGTCAAGCGAAGACGACAGCGAAGTATGAACCTGGCCAGCAATTTGACTCCGGTTCGTGCCAAACGCACTGCGAAGTATGAACCTGGCCAACAATTGCAACCCGGTTCGTGGCAGAAGCTGCTCCCATCCCGCTCATTGTGAGCTCGGGCGGGATAATTTTGGGGAATTTATTCAGCTGACAATACGCGACCAGTGTCGTTCCGTCAAGATGCGCTTGGTTACACTGCACACAACGGTGCAATTGTAGGGTCAGTCCGAATGTATCTGGACGACTTTGAAGTCCACATACAATATTTGTCGTGAAGCGAAGCCCAATGACTTTTTCCAAAATGACGCTGCTGCCTACCTGCGCTATATAGTGGTTGAGCTACCGCTGTCCCAAAAAAAAAAAAAACATCCCCACTGCACACAACGGTGCAATTGTAGGGTTGGTCCGAATGTATCTGGACGACTTTGAAGTTCATATACAATTTTGTCGTGAAGCGAAGCCCAGGGACTTTTTCTAAAATGACGCAGATGCTTACCTGCGCTATATAATGGTTGAGCTAAATTTACCGCTGTCAGAAAAAAAAAAAAAAAGCCCCACTGCATACAACGTTGCAATTGTAGAGTGGTCCGAATGTATCTGGACGACTTGAATGTATCTGGACGACTCTGAAGTTCATATACAATTTTGTCGTGAAGCGAAGCGCAGGGACTTTTTCCGAAATGACGCTGCTGCCTACCTGCGCTATACTGGTGAGCTAACTATAGCGTTGAAAAAAAAACAAAAAAGAGCGTTGTAAGGGCACTAAGGGCGTACTCACGCTAGGCCCTCAAAATCGCAAAATGGCAAAATCAACGGCCAGATCAAGTCCTTGTAAAAGGAGTCGTCTATCTGACCGCTGATTTTGCCATTTTGCGTTTTTTTTTTTTTTTTTTTTTTTTTTCCATTTTGCGGTTTTGAGGGCCTGGTGTGAGGGCGTACTCACACTAGCAGTATCTAGAATGTATCTGACCGTGTTCACGGCCATATCTGGATGTATCTGGCCGCGATTCCGTCCAAAAGAACGTAAACAAGTAGTGTGACTATGCCCTGACTATGCCCTGACTATGCCCTGAATATAGGGTCCAGATATGTCATAGGGATGGAAGGTGGAAGAGTGGAGGCTGGGCTGGGCAGACAGACGGACTCGCTCCACTACCCTTGGAATGTGCAAAACGTGAGTCCTACCGCTACAACATGGAAAGATACAGCGCCATGATTTTTGTCTTTTGTGCGTGTGGAGAGTATTGGAGCGACGCGTACACACTCTATTGGTTTCACGGAGGTGCGCGTGTTGGTATCTCATAGGGCCCGCGTTGCACTAGCCTCCATCCGCCAACATTTTGATCGCATATGGACATCCCTGTTGTCCAGATGCATTCGAAATCTTGGTCGAGGTGCACGTGTTGGCAGGCATTACTGAAAGGCAATGCTGCTAGTTTCCAGGTTAAAAAAAAAAAAAAAAAAAAAGAAAAAAAAAAGGCTGCTTCTGGGCTGGAAGCAGAGTACTCGCTTCCCTGAGGACAGCACACCAATCTACTTTTTTTTTTTTTTTTTTACTGTTATGCCGCCAAGGTGGGACTTAAATTTAGCGTTGTCTTCTTTTTTTTCTCCTTTTTTTAACGTTTTCTATATTTTAGCAGTTCGTCGGTGCACCTCCTGAGGGCGTACTCGCACTGGGACCTTTTTACTTGTATCGGGACGTAATTGCGGTAAGATACATCCCCGTCCGGCTTTACAGCGGTCAGATACATTTGAGATAGAGCTGGTGTGTGCACGCCAACCAGACGAGTACCAACCGAAGGGCATACTCACAGTAGGACCTTTTTCCTTATTTCGGGACGTAATTGCGGTCAGATACATTCCCCTCCAGCCGTAAGAGAGGTCAGATACATTTAAGATAGAGCTTGCCTGAGTACCCCCCGATGAGCATGTCATTTTTTTTTATAATTTTTTTAATTTTTTTTTTAGCATGTCATTTTGTTTATTGTGTAACAATCTACCATCGGAAGCAGATGAGTAAGAAGAAGTACGAGTTTACCTTGGGCTAGTCAGGTCAATGATGATTTTTTTTTTTTAATTATTTTTTTATTTTTTTTTAAATGATGATATCTCAAGGCTGACGCCCTTTTTTTTTCAATTTTTTTTTTTCAAATGATAAAAAAAGAATGGTCGTCATTATTCAGATGGAATGATCAAATTATCACAGCAATCGATTTCCTGTCCCTACAGTCTTCCCCCGAATAGAACGTAGGGTCATTATAGCTGAATTTGGGGTACCTTGTAGTCTAAATACAGGCTGTATTCGGGGAAAAGGAGGGTAGGATTCTGCACTCAGGGCGTGTACTCACACGCATTAGTGACTTGCCGAGATGTATCTGACCTCCTTTCAGACCAGATTCATTAGCTGGAAAAACGTCCTAGTGTGTATTTGGTCGTAATTCCGGCGAACGAAAGTCGCGTTTACTGTCGCATTTTTCGTCTTTGGTGTATGGATCTGGTCGCATTTACGGCCAGATTGCGTCAAACAAAGAGCCCCCAGTTATGAGTACGCCGTTATTTAGCTATGGGACAGTGCATTGGCACTCTCGCCGTTTTCTGGACATTTCGCAATACCCAGTGCATTGGCACTCTCGCCGTTTTCTGGACATTTCGCAATACCGAGTTCCGCAGAGCCCCGTGCATTCATGTCTGTATTTGAGCCGGAAAAGTGCCTTATGTACATTCATGTTCAGGGTATCCTTTTGCGGCGCAAACAGTGTTCTTCTTTTTTTTTTTTTTTTTTTTTTTTTTTTTTTTTNTTTTTACATTTACATACCGTGGTGCAATCCTGTGTTGGTAAGGGAACCAACAGGTTTGAGCCGTCTGGTTGGATGACCCCCGTCTATGGGGATCGCCACACCACTCTCGAAATGTGCAAAATGAGAATGAACTTCCCGCTAGAATCGGCCAGATGCACGTGCCACATTTTTGTCTTTTTCACATTTCGAGAGTGGTGTGGCGAGTCCCTATAGGTGGGTAGCTTCACCTGGGCTGAGGTCCCACTAGCAAAAAAGATTAGATTAAGCTCCTGAATCTGGACGCTTTTTAAACAGAAAAATGCCGTAACAGAAAATTGGATTAAGCTCCTGAATCTGGACGCGTTTTTAACTCGATGTATAAATATTAACGGTCTTACTGTATACTCATACTTAGTCCCCTCGTCCATCTACCTGGCCACAGTTGTGTGCCAGATTCAGTCAAGAAAGTCCTAGCAGCACCAACACGAGTATGGCCAAATGTAGTCATCCTCTCGTCCATGCACCTGGCGACAGTTGTGGGTCAGATTCAGTCAAGAAAGTCCTAGCAGCACGAACACGTTTACGGCCAAATGTAGTCCAAAAATTCCTACTACCGCTAGTTGGGACCGTTTACGAATGTGGAAAAACAAGAAAAAAGCGAATGTGGAAAAACAAGAAAAAAAAAAAAGCGAAAAAAAACGTTTTCTCATGTATGGGCATTATTCTCTCAATAGAACTAACCTGGGATGTATTCAAGCGCAATTGCGGCCCCGTTCATCCACCGATGTCCAAGTTCTTACAAATGCGCCATGAAGGGACATACTTTTTTCTTTTCTTCTCTTTTTTTTTACAAAAGGCACATACTCACCGTTGGACTGTGGTTCTTTTTTTTTTTTTTTCGTTCTTTGTTTTCGTTCTTTTTTTCCCCTGCATGTATGGGCGTTCATTTCTCAATAGAACTAACCTGGGACGTATTCAAGCGCAATTCCGGTCACATTCATCCACGGATGTCCGAGTTGAGACAAATATGCCATGAGGGCACACACTCAGCCTTGGACTCTGGTTTCACCCCAGCGCGGATAGGAAATTACCACGTTTTTTTTGTTTTGTTTTTTTTTTTTTAAGTAATTACCACGCGGTTTTCTTTTTCACTTTTCGTTGCAATCCTCTTTTTTTTAATGCGCGCTAGCCCCTGTTATTATTGCATAATAACGCTAGCACATTCCTAAATGCACCTGACCGTAAGCACGGTAGGTAGGCCCTGGATGCATCTGACCACAATCATGTCCAGAGCTCAGTCAACGAAGTCCTAGTGTGAGAATTGTCTTAGTCGTTTTTTCTTTTAAACTAGACATTCATATGAGTATGTAAGACAATAAGAATTGTTTTTTTTTTTTGGGGGGGGGGGGGGGAAACTACGCGAGTTCGAATCCACATGTGATCAGATGAACAGAACATAAAATAATAATGTCCTAAGAAAAGAAAAAAAAATCGTTCGCCAATTGAGGCCAATTGCGCTTTTTTTTTTTTTTTTTTTTGGTGTTTCCGGAGGTCAAACTGAATGACATGGTATATTACTATGGGCCTGGATGCACTACTCTTGAAAAGTGCAAAACGAGAGTGAATCTTCCGCTAGATTATAGAAAGATACACCGCTATTATTTTTGTCTTTTGTGCATGTCTTTTTTTTTTTTTTTTTTTTTTTTGGGAAATTTGTGCATGTCTTGAGAAGTGCATCCAGGCCCTATATATTCGTTATCGTTTTTTTGTATAACACATCGCCAATCGAGGCCAATTCGTTTTTGGGGGTAACTTGAGTAAAGTCACAAAAACGAGTTATAATGTAATTGCACTATGGGGCAAGATACAGTTTGCAATTGCACTTGGGGCACCGTATATGGCCAGGAAGCTGGGTTGTATACATTGCCCGAACTGCAATTCGAAACTGTATCTTGCCCCATTCTGCAATTATACTAGGGTGGTGAAGCGGCTACTGTTTACTAGGCATTGGGGCTCGCTGCACTACTCTTGACATGCACAAAAGACAAAAATCATGTGGCCCGGTATCTTTCCATATTCTAGCGGAAGATTCACTCTCGTTTGCACATTTCAAGAGTAGTGCGGCGATGCCCATTGGGCCTCGCTGCACTACTCGTGAAAGGTGCAAAACGAGAGTGAATCTTCCGCTAGAACATGGAAAGATACAACGACATGATTTTTGTCTTTTGTGCATTTCAAGAGTAGTGCAGCGAGGCCCATTGTCTGCCCCTCTTGTGGAGAGGAAGGCGGGGGGGAACCCAGTTACAGGCAGAAAAGCAGCTCGATCGCCATTGGGCGTCGCTGCACGACTCTCGAAATGTGGAAAACGAGAATGAATCTTCCGCTAGAATACGGAAAGATACACGGCCAACATTTTTGTCTTTTGTGCATGTCGAGAGTAGTGCAGCTCGATCGCCATTGGCTGCATCTTTCCGCGTCCAGAATCAGGCATCAAATCCCAATCCTCTCACTAACTAGGGGGATTGGATTCATCTCCTGAATCTGGACGTGTTCTATGCCTAGATGATGGAGAAAAGCAGTTCAATTGCGATTGTCTGCACCTCCCCACAAACAAGTCCAGAATCAGGCTTCAAAATTTAAATCCAATTCTCCTCAAACGCTGGAGTCGGCGGGACCACCTCCGTCGGGCTCGACAGGAGCGTTGGTGGGGAACTGCAGTGGTTATTTTGTTAGAAAAGACTAAAGGGAAAGGGGGGGAAAAAAAAAATAAAACGAAAAAAAAAATAAAACGAAAAACAAAAAGAACACCAGACCCAGGTTGAACATTACGCACCCCCGAAAAAAAAAAAAAAAAAACACTACGCATGGGCTGGAATGATCGTGCCTTGGCAGAAAGGGTCTCGCACCACGTCACAACACTCATTCATGTGTGTACCTTGAAATGTGGACCAGATAAATTTTGCCTCCGTCAACATTAGTTGGAACGTTAGTGATCGATAACAGGTCCAGGTAGATGTATACGTGTAGGGCTGTAAATCTCGAAGTGTCCAAAATGAGAGTGAATCTTTCGCTAGAACATGGGAAGATACATCGCCATTATTTTTTGTCGTTTGTGCATGTCGAGAGTAGTAGAGCGACGCCCCTTAGGTCCTCGTCGCACTACTCGCCATCCGCCAACATTTTGATTATATGTGGACACCCTTTTGTCCAGATGCATTCGAAATCTTGGCGGATGGCGAGTAGTGCAACTAGGGCCTTATGCGTTTTCCCGCCGAATTGATCGGTCTGTTTTTCTCTCCCGCCGTTTTTTCTTTCCCCCCCACCGCCACCGCCCCCCCCCGCCGCCCCTTCATTCTTTTTTTTTTGTTTTGTTTTTTTTTTCCGAAGCCCTCGTTCTTGTCGTCATGCATCCGGGCGGGGGTATTCGCCCTGACTTCTGTCGTTTTCTGGTGATTCGATTTTGTCGTTTTCAGTCATTTCCAGTCGTTATCCGTCGTTTTCCGGCCTGTCTTGCGCCCCCTCTGCCCCATTATTCGCCCCGACATCTGTCATTTGCTACCTTTTTTTGTTTCTTCTGGGCGTTGTTTCCCGTTTCTTTTCTCTTCTTTTTTTAAATCCCTTTTTCGCTCATTTGCTATCCCTGATGGTCCCCCCTATTTCGGGGCTTGAAGCTGTCCCGACCATCGATCACTCGTAATATCGGAGAAGCCCTGTAGACAAGATTTGTTTTTCACTTTATTTTGTTTTTACCCCTTCGCCAGCAAGGACGACTCGTAGGGCATACTCACACGGGGCCCAAATGAACCAAAATCCCAAAATTTGAGGCATTTTTGTGGTCACACAGGGTTGGCCCTGTACCCAAATGCCTCAAATCGTGACCAAATGTCAGCGGCCTGCGAGGCCGCGGGGGTACCCTTTTTGAGACCACCTCC